TATTTAGTTATTTTAAAAATAAAATAGTTAAGATTGACTATATAAAAACCATTTTACTTTTTATGAATTGACAGATGGGAATTATGATTATCAAGTTTTGCAAAATAATGGTAACTCAAAAAGAATACAGTGACCATTTGGCATGTTCTCAAAAAGCTGAACACAGAGATTCCATGTGATCCAGCTATACCTCTGCTAAGATTTTCCCCATGGAAAACAGGACTGAGATATAAATGAAGATTTGTACACAAATGAAGATATGTTCATAGTAGCATTATTTGCAATAGCAAGAACACACGAAAGTCCAATTTTCCATCACCAAATGACAAAATTGAGAAATCGTGGTACATTTCCATGATGAAATACTATGCAGCATTAAGGAGCAATGATTTTGAAAAGTGCTATAAAACATGGAAAAGGCTGGAGAGCACTCTTCTGAACGAACTAACTCAGGTACAGAAGAACAAATACCGTACAAGACAATTATTGTAAAAACAGAAGGACAACCAATGAGATGTCTATGGATATACAAAGAGAGTAAGAGGGCTGAGGATGGAGAGGGATCAAAGAGTTTAGTGGGTGGAGAGAGAAAATGGGGGGAACCCAAAACAATGTACATGAATAAAACACAACAAAAAATACAAAAACATTTAAAAATATGATATAAAAATACAGTGACTTTCTGCACTTTTATTTTTCTAGAGAAATACAGAAGTCTTTATGAAATGGAATCCATTTCCACTTTCACCGAATATAGCATTTAAAATAGACAAGAATGGTGAAATAGCATACTTTTCTATAGAGCTCATCTTATTAAATGATAAACAACTATTAAAGAAATAAAGACTAAAGAAAACAAATCTCTTCCCAGGAGTAAGCAATATCTAAGTGGTTGGGCCTTGATTTTCAGATTGTTCAGCTATTTCAAATATACTGAAATGATTCTTGTAGTCCTGTAGATTTTTATCCTTGATTTAAACTGGTTAATAAACTTACCTTAGTTTTAATTGCACTTAGGGAATTAAGTACTTTCTGTAGAATTGGGTTTGCCTCACCAACCTGTATGTAAAAAAAAAGAAAAGAGATAAAGATCATTATAAATCAAGTACTGTTTAGCTTTGTTTTGGTTTTTATAATTTAAAAAAGTTAAGACCTATAATAGAACGGAAATAATCTTCCTCTCTGTTTTAGGAAGTGTGATTTTGCAAGATTTTAATAATTTAAGTGGTTCTTAAAAGCTCTTAGTTCCATCAACTGTTTACAACACATACATTAAAGAGCAACATGTGTAAATAACTATAGAAACAAACATCTTACTCTTGGTCTATTGTGCTAGTTGTAATTAATATAGTGGTAGTTTATAAAAAAGCACTGGCCGTTCAGTGGTTAAATGCTCAGCTTCCATCTGAAAGGTTAGCAGTTGTAACACACACACACAGTGACTCCTTGTAAGAAACAGTGGTGATCTGCACCCATAAAGGTTACAGCCAAGGAGACCTTACAGAGCAGTTCGCTCTGCCACATGAGTCAGAATCTACTCTAAAGCACTTAACGACAACAATACCGCTTAAGATCCATGCTCAACAGAGGTTAAGTGGAGTTAGCACAACCACGTGGGTCTAATGCAACAATACTTTCAAGGGCTTTCCTATAGAGATTTGAGCATTAGCTGCCACAAGAAAATAAAAAGGAGTTTGTGTTTGGGTTAGCATAGAAGGACTTTTCTTTTAAGGAAAAAAATTTTTCAATATTTTTTCCATAATAAGATAAAATGAGCAGCTGAGGTAGATTCGGAATTTAGAAGATCTGGTCAAATAAGAATCCCTTTCCCTTTGAAACTCTCCATTCAAGCCCCGTCTGAAACTTTTGCTCTCTTTAAAGAGTGAAGCAAGTAGAAACAAAGCAACAGAGAACCTCCCTTAAAAAGAAAAGACTCCAGTCTTTTTTTGTGTGTGTGTATGTGTCTTATGTCATCTTATTTTGAAACCTGATTGGTAAGAGGAAGTGTTAGCACAGCTCTACAGCTCACCTTCAGGAATGCACCAATAATTGCCAAGCCATCAGGCTGGGAAGCGGCTTCGGCAAAGCTGGAGTACTTCGCTGAGTTCCAGTGAACTATATGAAACTAAAAGAAAAAGAGTAATGTGGCTAATTAATAAGCTATACCAGTTGAAAGACAAAAAAGTAAATTATTAGTTAGCATGTGACTATTTGGAGCTGTTTCTTTTTGACAGAATGTATGTGAACATCTACTCAGTGAGAAGAAAGGGCTGTGGTTTTGCTTCATACAAAGAATTATCAGTGCTCTAAGCACAGTTGGGAGGTTGCTAATTAATCCAGAGACCAGTAAGTAAAATTTCTTTTCTGACAATATCATAACTACATGATAGTATTCCTGGTTTTCTCTCTTTCTTTGGTATGAAAAGAGCAGGTAATCTGATTAACTAGTTTTAGGGCAAAAGTTGAGATAATTGTCATGTTGGAATTTCTTATTAATTTTATGAGATGGGTTCCAGGACTACATGGGGTCTGGGTAATCCAAAGATAGATATATATGCATTATATATTCATACATAAAATGGACAATCTAAAAATGCTTCCTATCCCTTAGTTTACAGTTTGATAGAAATATTATTATGAATTTTACTCTCGTTATACAAATAATAATATCACCAAACAGACCATATTTCCATGTGAGGGCGTGCCAAGAGGCTAGAGAGGAGTGGCTTGCACTCCAGGAACTCCCTTCCCTCATCTAGGTGTGAACTATTCTCTGTGACGATTCCTATAGTTAATGTTAAGCTCAAGATCTTAAACCCAGTGCCATTGAGTTTATTCTGCTGGAGGTCTTAGCAAAGCCTTGTTCCATTCTGGTCATATTTACGCAATGGGCATGCTTGTTCAAGCTTGAACACTTCAATAGGAAGAGTGTGGTGAGTTCTGTTTCGGACCCCATTGGACTGAAATGGAAACAACACCTCTAGCTCGCCTAATGCTGAGGTGACAACTTTTGAGGCAGCCTCAAAGGAAAGATGACTAATCAGCCTGGTATTTCAGTTCCAGAGCTGAGCTACCTTTCCCCACATTGACAAACATGAAACATCAAAGTTTGATATTAATGAAGTCGGATGAGATCTTCTATATCCCAGGTTTTAGAAAGTACAAAGTTTGATTTGAAAGGAAAAAGATGAGGCTGTATATATCATGGTGTCTTATTTACCACAGCTCATTTTCCTCCCACTTCCTAAGTTATGTTACCTCTCCAGAAAACTTTGTTCCATCCACTGTGTGCTCCGAGCCATGGTCATTGGCACTGCCCCAATGAAAATGGAACTGGCCAAGCCTGTAGATTTCAGAGAGAGGGCCGCCTTTCACCACTGGAAGAAAAAGAGAACAATTAGAATTCTAAACATAAGGTACACCCTTTCTTTTGGCTTTTTGTTCTCTTTTATTTAAAAAAAAAAGTATTTGAATGAGATCTACAAATCATATTGGTTTTCCACATAATCATTAGTGGTCATTTTGTTTCATCATGTTTATTGCCACTGTTTAATCAATTCAATAATTTGAATGTCTATCATGATAGATAGTGAAGAGATCAAGATAACAGCTGTCGTTTGCTTGGCTCCACAAACAACACTCTTGGTACCAGCAGCCAGGAAATAAAAAAGGCGAATTGCATTAAGAGCAATGATGTCAGTCTGGAGACTAAGGTGCACCTTATCCAAGTCATGATCTTTGAAATCACTTGCTACACATTGGGAAGCTGGACAATGACTAGGAATGATAGAAGGAGAAGTGATGCCTTTGAGCTGTGGTGCTAGAGAAGAGTGTTGAATATATCATGGACTGCTAGGAAAACAAACAGTTTCACCCTAGAGAGGGTAAGACCAGGCTCTTCTGTGGAGGCAAGGATTCTGAAGCTTCATCTGACATATTTTGGGCATGTTGCAAGGAGGGACAGGTCCTTGGAGAGGGACATCATGCTTAGGAGGGAGGAGGAACAACACAAGAGAAGAAGACCCTCAATGAGATGGATTGACTCAGTGACTGGGTTAATGAGGAGTAGTTGTGTTGGAGACAATAAGATGGGCACAGGAGAGAGCAAGTTTTAGGGCTGTTGTACATAGAGTTGCTTAGAGTCACAGGCGACTCAATGACACATAACAACAGCAAAACCAACAACAATCAATCATCAATCTCTTATTGTATATAGGCTTTCCTTCACCCAACTTCATCTATTTGTTTTTACTTCCCTCTCCTTCCTTTGCCAGATTAGATTATCTTTGCTTTGAATATGAACCACAATCATTAAATGAAATGGTGTTGAAATTAATTGAAACTACACTAATATTGAGGTTTTCTCCTTTTCTTTTTCATTTTTTCCCATTTCTATGATCATAGAATTCATATGCACAGTACATCCTTGACTGTGGCATAGGTAAGAAATGTACTACAGACATGCCTGGCACAAAGGTCATTATTTGACCAATTTCTACCTCCAAGAAGCTATTTATAGGTAAGTGTATTATATTATCACAAGCTTTACTTGAATATGCTTTAATTTGCAAGTTTTTTTATAAATTATTTCAACAAAGATTGGATAGGCAGTTTGCATCATAGTCAGAAGCAGTTTATGAATTATCAAGTACTCTCCATGTACTTCACACATTAAATTACACCAACATAAAGAACAATTATAAGTCCACAAAATGTATTATGACATGATGGATTTGGAGGAGTCAAGGCGAAATGAAATAAGTCAATTATCTAAGAACAAATATTGCACAATCCCACCTTTATAAAAGGCCAAGAATAGATACATATGCAGAGAACAATGTTCATTCGAGGCTACCAGGGATGTCTGAGAGGAGAGGAAGAATCATTCTCTTGAGTGCAGATACTTTTTTATTTTTTTATTGTGGAAAAAGTAGCACAGTTATGCGAGTATAATGAAGTGAGCACAGCTTGACCAAAGTAAATAGTGCTACAAAGAAACACAGGAGAAGAGAATGTTTGTGTTAAAAAAAATGTGACCTGTGTAATTTGGCAACAACACCATCAATAAGCAAAATACCAATGTCTTGTCACCCGTGTAGGTATATTGGCGTGATTGTGTAATGGCAGGCATAGGTTAATAGATAGATGTACCTATTATCTATGTACATACAGGTATATGTTTCACACAGTCTTATTCATAGAAGACACATTTGCAGACACTTCTCAGGTATAACTCAACACCTTGTGAGAATGACTGTCTGGTGTCAAATGTTTAGGACCTTAGTCCCTGGGGAGAACTCAGTCAACTGGCACCACAAAATTCCTGTTTGCTTCCCACTGAAGTGAATAACATCTGGCATTTTACAAGCTTGAGAGTAGCTATCTACGATATAACTATTAACCACTACTTGTTAGAAGAGAAAAGAAGAAAACTGAAGATTCAGAGAAGAAACTAGTCTACAGAGCTTATGGCTCACATAATCAGCAGTCTCTTCTACTCTGAGCCTAAAAGAACTGTATTTTCCCTGGTACCCACTGATGGTCTGATCAGAGCCAGAGTAAGTGAACCCAGGTAGAATGGAGGGAAAAGATGGAATGGAACTCAAACTCTTAAAAAGTCCAGTCTTACTGAGTCAGGTGAGACTGAAAGATTCCCTGATACTATCAGCCTAAAAGCACTTTATCAGTCTTGAACTTGAACTATTTCCAGAGAATGTTTTGCAATAAAATAGACAACAGGTACACAAAATAAAGGTTATTATTTGGTGAGTATGGTGCTCGAAAAGGACAGCAATTACTCTAAAGTCAAAAAGAGAAGGCAAAGGGGCAGGGAAACTAGAGAATTAAATATGGAACAACCAGAATGCAAATAGAATATGGATACATGGTGGAAAATGCAACTAATACCACTGAACAATTTATGTAGAAATTGTCAAATGGGACTCTAACATGGTACGTTAACGTCTCTAAAAAGCCAATACAATATCCTTTCTTTTTAAGAAGTTGCTGTATTTTTGTCTGATAAAGCCGTTCTTTGTTAAGGAGATGTGCTGCCAACCAAAAGCACATGGCTTGAATTCACCAGTGAGCAGCTTTCTTTTGGGAGAAGAATAGGCTGTCTTCTCCTGTGCAATTTACAGCTTCTGAAAACCTGCTGGAGGGTGAGCTATGGGTCACATCTGACTCCAAGACACATAACTAACCTTAAAGTAACTTCATATATTTCTTAAAAAAATTAACACTGGAGGACTATGTACTTTTTGAGAGTGTATCTAATCATATGATTAATTCAACCTATATGATAGTAGACCTACTTTAATATTAATCATAAGCTTAGCCTCAGGCACTTGAAATCTAGACTCAAAGCCTTGTAGGAACATTAGTAAAACAAATTTGGCCTTTGAAGTGTATTGTGAAGAAGATAAAACAGAGGGGGGGGATAGGTGGGGTGGGGGAGCTTAAAAATAGAAACTCCCCAAAAAACAACTAAAAAATTAAGATAAACTTTTTATTTAATATATTAATCAGCATATAAGTATGGAAAGCTTCCTATGTAGTGAGACTTTGCTACCCCCTGGAGCAGAAACATAACAGTTATTACAGTCTGGTAGAAAAGAGACCAGTATACTTATGCACAGAACTATCTAGTCTGACTTTTAGACATCCTTCATCTGCATGCAGGAAATTTCTCAATGATAGCAATTTTTCTGGCCCAAGAGGAAAAAATTATATATGTTTTTTAGCCCCAACTCTCTTTTTTACTGTGCTTTTCAGTCTTTATTATCATTAAGGAAATTGGCTTTTTCCATTTCATGCTTATTATGATTGTTATATTTGACATTTTTTAAAAAAAATATTGTTTACCCAGACAGGGCAAGCAAGCATGAATGTGGCATGGGATGAAAGGAGCACAAAGAACAGATCAGATGGTACCATTGAAGGACTGTGAAAGACCAAGGGGGAAATTCTAAAAATTATCTTTACCAGAAGTCCAAGCTTAACAATAATCACTCTCTCTCTCTCTCTCTCTCTCTCTCTCTCTCACGGGCATTTGTGATAAAGTTCTATTTGTTTGGGTTTTTTCTTTATTTATTTGTTTGCTTGCTTGGTGTTTTTTTTTCAAATATCTCCCCATAGACTCTGAGACAGAAAAAAATCATAAAGCTATAAAGCTCTCTGGCTCACCTGATCGGTTGTCCTTATCTTCATAAGTTACATGGAATGAATGTCCCACATTGATAATCTCTTTGGCTGTGGCTGGGTCGTAGGAGACACTGATGGGTTTCATAGTAGTATCATGTTTAACGTCACTGGTTTTGATGTCGATAGGAGACTGATTATTTCCATTGGCGATAGGGTATTTTGTGCCCCAGTGTTCAGGACCTACCAGAACAAACAGTATGATTTCTGCCAAAATGCATCAAGTGCTTAATTCCAAGTTTCAGACACATTTTATCTGCTTCCTAGATTAGCATTTGGCTAGGTTTTTAAAATGACACTCTGTTTAGTTTAACGGACATTCAGTGTTTGAAGATGATCCTTTCTACACATAATAAAAAATAGTATATTTGTCATCAGTAGTAATAGAGAAAATAGGGTAACAGAGGAGCTCTGGTGGCCTAGTGTTAAGAAGCTGCGCTGCAATCCAAAAGGCATGAGGCTTGAGTCCACCAACTGCTCTGTGAGAGAAGGAAGGGCAATTTCCTCCTGTGTCTCTGAGAACTCACTGGAGGGTCAGTTATGATTTGGTGGCACACAACAACAACAGTAATAGAGAGGAAGGTCTGGTGGTGTAGTCCATGGGAAGTTGCGTTGCTAACCTGAAGACCACATCCTTCTGGGGCTTTGAATCTGTCAGTGGCTCATAGATAGAAGCTGAGAGATCCTTTTCCTAAGCAATGTACAGCCTCGGAACCCACATGGAGAGTCAACTCAGACTCAACAGCCATGCGGTGGAGTAATACAGACTGATACCCACAGTCCACAGGCAAAGAGTCCACGTAGTGTACTATTAGCAGTCAATTTCTAACAGTATAATCTGAAGCACAGGAGAGATTTTTCCTTTTGGAGATGGCACTTCATAGGTAAGTATGCCAAAGAGCTATTGTTTAGAACATGTGCAGAAATCATACTAATTTTTCAAAACAGATAATTAAAACTATTATGGCTATATAGTTATTTTAATGCTCAATACCTCTGTTTTTGAAAAGAGAATATGCTATTACTGCATTTCTAGGAGGAGAGGGAACCTTACCATTTGGACCATCATATCCCCAGTCAGAGCTTGCCATGGCTTTCTGCTTAGTTTTCTTTCTCTGAAACAAAGATAATTCGTAGAATCACTAACTGAGCGTGCAGTGGACACCTGAGACCTCCACTTGGGGGTTTTTATAGAAACTTTCCTGCCTTTTATTATACTGCTATTTAATCATGTCAGCCTATAAGGAAATATATGTGTATAAAATTAGATGTTGTAAAAAAGGTTCACAAGTGTCATGTTTCACTTTTTTTAAGTTGTCAGAGAGAAATGTCTAAATTTTAGCTTTTATAAAGCCAATCCGGTTTATCTTATATTTCACAATATGGCTGAATACTAGATGCACCATTCTTTGGTTTTTTCTAAGATATAAATGGCTTGTGCACCTGATCGTTCCAATTTGATCCTTGCTGATTAATCACAATTAGCAAGGTGATTTTCAAGAAGGTTAATTGACAGGAAGGAAACAAATTACAAGTGTAGAGATAGATTTGAATTTAACGTAGGAGAAATTACCAATGGTTTTTAATATATATGATTCTGAATGATGCATTTCATGAGCACACTCAGGATAAGAACAGAGTCCTTCATGGTGGAGGAAGAATGGAATTCACATGGAAGTGATTTAACACTGACGTGATATTGAAATTAAGGCCCGATGTTTATTTTGCCCATCCAATAGATCAATTGGTACAATATATAGTTAAGCATTTGCCCATTAAATGAAGGCTACACCGCTTGAATCATCCTTGGCTCTGAGAAAGAAAGTCTTGGCAAAGTGTATAACCTACAGAACCTTATGGGGCAGATCTATCATGTCACACAGGGCCACTAATGGTGGAACATCAAGTTGAGAGCACTCAGTAATCTGATTTATAAAGAACTTTCACATTATTTTGTTTTACCACCACAGACATACTCATGCGCACACCCCTCTCCCCCATAAAGTAAAATAAGAACTATAATTTTGCGGTTGAGAAGAACTGAGCCACACCATCAAAAAGCTAAGAAGCCAAGACTTCAGCCTCCAAACCCATCTACATTCCTTACTACACATCCTCCAAGTACCACACCAGATAAGCTATAAAATGGGTGATCTCCCAATTTCCTTCTATGTCCACAATTTTCCTCAGTCAAATGTAAGCCTGGACCAGGGTGAGAATTGCTACTTGTTGAATGATAAGAAAGTCTACAAGACTTTTCATAAGTAAAAGAAAAACTAGCTTGGATATGTCTACATTCTCAAGGCTCCAAGTGAGCTTAAAGGAAATAGATCCAGAAAAATAAACTTTTATAATTATGCTTTTTCATGCCAGGGTACATATAACTTGATTTATACTATAGAATTATGAACTGCCTTATTCTCTGAAGGAGAAGGGAGTTCAAAAGCAATTTCTAGCTGGAATGACTAGGGTCGTGCTGTTCAGTCCTCTGTAGCTAAAGACAGCTGCTCCCTCTTATGCACAGTGAACTATGCACAGAATGGCGAGTGTCTTAAGCGCTCTCTCTCTCTGAGTTTTGTGAGCAGAAGATATTGTTTAAGAGGTAATTTTACTTTTAAGGTAGCATTAATTTCAAGAAAGAATTACTATAGAAATCAATTGTTGTTGTCTTAACATTAACAGTTGTGTTATAAGGAAATTAAGGCTTACAGAGATAAAGGCATCTCCCCAGAGATACTGAGCTTGTATGTGATATTTATAGATCTAAGGCATAAATCCAAGTCTACTTCTACCTCTAAAGCTTCTACTATTTTCCTAACCTTTGTCACTTGTCCCTTTCATGGTCAACAAATGCCCACTGGTCTTCTTTTGACCCTATTTTCTAGGAGATCTACTTAGTTAATCCGAACTGCTCTGGCTCAAGATGACCATCAGTGAGGACTGAGCCATGAATTTACTGTGTCCAGACTTACGGCCTCAGACTTCATCAAAAGGTCAGGGAACAGGTTAGTTTTGGCCAGTGATTTCTGTTTTAATACTAAGTTCTTGGCCAGAAACCACTTTACTAAGTTGATTCATACATTTGAAAGATAATCCCTTTTTCATTACATGATTGTGTGGCAACACAGAATACACTATTCATATAGCATAATAATTTACTTACAGTTTTAAGTACAAAATTACTTTGAACCTTAACCATTGTGACCCTTCACTTTGTTATCTACCCAGGTCATATTTATACACTTGAATAAGCAGAAAACTCTACAGTGAAAGGAAGTAAAATTTAATGAGTACCTATGACTTGGGCCTTGACATTTTGTTTCATAATCATATGATATTAGATATGCATGTAAGTTTTTTTGGATGGAGAGACACAACCCAATGACATTTAGAGGTGAAAAGCAGAAATATTTTTTACTTACAATTCAAACTGAGGAAGAATATCAGACAGGACCACATAGGAAGTAGTTCCAGGGGACAGGGCCAGTCAGCGGAGTTGAGTATGAGGAGCAGAGTGGGGTTAGCCTGTTTAAATAGATTTCTAGGCAACTGCCTAATTTTAATAAATTTGTGGGCTGTGGGGTGTAAACTCTGTTCAACTCTATTTGATATCGTAACCCAGGATGATTAAGATGGGTCTCAGTGTGTGAGAACCTGATAAGCTACTTTAGAAGAAGCATTGATTGGACTCTAGCCAGAGCCTCCGGGTTGAGTCAAGCAGTAATAAATAAAAAATAAAACCAAAATGAGGCTATAATTATCTTCTTGAGCTCTTGATATTAATTCAAACTTAATTATTTAGGGATCTAACAATGAGAACAGTTGAGCTAAACAGTGTAGAAAATATTAGAAAGAACTCAGAAAAAAACACAAGAAATTCTGACAAGGCAGCTCATAACTAAATTCCTCTATTTGTTTGGTGGTGCTGTTGTTGTAATGTGCCATTGAGTTGCCTGAGATTTAAGGGACGCTATGTACAACAGCTCGGAACCCTGCCCTGTCCTGAGCCAGTCTCACTAAATCCAACACACCTACCCTATTGCCTTTATTACTGTATCAATCTATCTCATCCAGAGTCTTCCTCTCCTGTGCTGTCCCTCCACTGTTCTGAGCATGCTGTCCTTCTCCAAGGACTGGTCCCTTCTGGTCACATGCTCAAAGTATGTGAGATGGAACTTCAAAATCTTAGCCTCCAAGGAGAAAGCTGGTTTCACTCTCTCCAAGACTTATTTGTTTTCTTGGTGGCCTGGGGTATGTTCAAGTTTGGTGTTAATCAACAGAATAAATAAATGTGGCAGAATCTTCTAGCATTATTTTTGTTGAATCTGGAATGTGATAAAGGTTTGTTGGGGTTTTTATTATTATTTTTGTTGTCCATTTGATTGATATTATCTCACAAGCAAAAAGGATTAATAATGCTACAAACACCTTCTTAATTAATAATAATAAATAATTAAGAGCCTATCTAGTATAAAAACCCTCCATTTATTTATTTTTTAATTCAGAGATCTAATGCTTCAATTAAGCAGACCTAGTATTTGTTGCTCTGGTGGTCTAGGAGGTAAGGAGTAGGGCTGCCAAACAAAGACAGGTAGTTCAAATCCACCAGCTGTTTTGCAGGAGAAAGATGGGAAATATCTTGTACAATTTACAGTCTCTGACAACCCACTGAAGGGGCAGTTAGTCTTGATTCTTACTTGGCAACAATGAGTTGAGTTGTTCAGTAGTTTGATATTTGTTTCACTTCAACAATATTAGAGAGTAGAATATTGGACATTTATTGGTTAGGATCACTGAGTTTTTATTTTTGGGTTGGAGTCATGGTCCCTTGCAACTATTCTATCAAGTCTTATAGGAGTGACATGTGCCTAGATTATAGCTATATCTGCTACCTGCCAATGGCGTTTAACTAGGATGGGGCAAGAATGAATAACTTTTACATAAAGGAAAAGTATGGAACTAGTGAGTGTGGTCTATGTTTAGAAGTGGTAGCAGAGAAGAGTAGAAGGAGGAAGCATCCTTGTTGGTGGGTCTATACTATTAAGCAGATGTGCTGTCTTTTGATTGAAAAATGGTATTGCTCTTCAGGTGATTGGAAATTACTAAAGAATTGCACTAGAGGAATCTTTTGTTGGTTGTATGTATAGTGAGTGTTCAGAATCACTCATTAGGTAGTGAATATATGCTACATATTGAGAAAATATGAGAACAGTTGTTGTTCTTGGTTGCCCTCAAGTTGAGAACAACTCATAGTGACTCTGTGAACAAAAGGCCTGAAACCCCTCTACAATTATCAACATTTATCAAAGTTCATAGAGTTTCCAGAGGCTTGTTGTTTAGGAAGTGGATGACACTTCTGCTTTCCATTTGCTAAAAGAAGGTATCCCATATACAAGGGAAGTGGCAATTTGGAGGAAGTTTTAATGTTCCAATATTTTTCATCTCCAGGACAGACACCAACTGAATAAAAGCTTGCTATGGGATATTTAAAAACAAACAAATGGAAATTCAATAGTTATAGACAGTAAAGGCATAAGAGGCTAGTTCAAAGTATACCTATACTTGTGCTTGTGTGGGTGTGAGAAAGAAAGAGAGACAGACAGAGAGAGATGGAGGGATGGAGGTGGGGAGAGATGAGGAGAGAGAGAGAAAGTGAGAGAGAGAGAGAGAGAGACAGGTCCTACTAGATTCAAGTGGCTAGGGTAATTGTTTTGGATTTCATTTGCTCTGTGGACTTTTGGATGTTGTCAATTTGTACTGACAGGTGAGGTGTGGTTGTGGATACAGAATGAGGAGAAAGATAAAGGGAAACAAGTGGTTAGAGTGTTGAGAAGCCAGTGGAATTCTCCTGTTACAACTCTGATAGCACAAATTATGGCTACTACATAAAGATATTCTTTGAGAAGGAGAAAATCAAACCAAACCAGTTGCCTTCAAGGCAATTCCAGCCCATGGCATCCCCTTATTTTTCAAAGTAGGACTGTGTTCCATGAGATTATCAGTAACTGTAAGCTTTTGGAAATATATAGTCAAGTGAGCAAGAACTACTAACCTTTAAGTTAGTAGCCAAAGACTTAACTTTTTGTGTCAT